TAATTATAAACTGGGAAAGCAGCTGACAAATGACATAATTACAAATGACATAATTATTGTCCTCACTTTGTTTTGTCGCCTCCTGTGACCAAGCCTCATTCCCTAAATCCCTGGATTACCACCTACAGCAACAACTCACCCTCTGGAAGGAGAAGACATTCCAGGAGCTTGGAAAAACTCCCAAACTCACCTCAGTGTGGGTGGAAAAATGTGAATTTCTGTCACCCTGTGTTGTCCTGCTCTGCTCCCTTCATCTCCTGAGGATTCCAAACCCAATTCTCACTGCCAAGCTCATCCTGCCCACTGCAGGGAGCTGCCAGCACAGGAATCTGCTGGTTTGAAGGCTAAAAAGTCACAGAATTTGGAACAAAATCAGTCCCAGCCAAATCCAGGTTTTTACAGCTCAGGAGTTCATGGGTCAGGCACTAAACAGGGAGAGCCTGAAAGGTGAAAAGGAAGGATAAAGGGTTAGGGAAAAAGGAGACATTGTATTTTTTTTGTTTTTAAGGGGTTTATTTTCAACTGACACCCTCCCACAAGTGAATCTGTAGTGTTACATTCTCTAGATGATGCACATGATTTACTCATCTTCTAAAGTAAACCAAAAATTAGCTGTTTTTATAAAGCCCAAGAATCTGAGAATTCCATCAGAAGTTTTCACAGCAGCACATCCTCACACGAATCTGTGGCATCGTTTGCATCGTGATAACGAGCCAGCCAAATAATTCATTGTAGAAAACAATCAAGGAGACTGAAAAAATCCTGAAATCATTCCATAAAAACACAGCAAGCTCAGGGAAGCACCTCCCACTCGTCCAGGATTTTTGTGTGCACATCTCTTCTGGCAGACAAGAACAAATTCATGCTCATTTCTCCAGATGAAAACTTTCCATATCCAAGCATGTTTCCCTGGAATAACAAAAATCTTCAGGGGGATTATTCCTTCCCTCTGGAATAACAAAATCTTCAGGAGGGCTTTTCCTTCCCCCAGAATAACAAAATCTTCAGGGGGGTTGTTCCTGTCCCAATCCCAGCTCTGTAATTCCAACAGGTCATTAAAATTGCAAGCTCTTGAAGAATCAAATAGTAAAAAACATGGATTGATTGGAGGAAAAATAATTTGCTGTCAGAGCAAAACACAGAGAAAGAATAAAGCAGAGTTTGCTGCTCCTGGATAAAAATGGGCAAAGGAAACTCCTGGATGCCAAAGGCAGGTGGAGGTTTTACTTCACCACAGAAAGAGAATTTTCCCGTGGGTTTCCCAGGAAGCTGCAGAGGAGCTGGAAGGCCGAGCTGGTGTGGAAAGCCAGGCAGACATAGGTGGTGTAGAGCAGCAGCCCCAGCATGGCCAGGTTGAAGGAGTAGAAGAGAACTTTCTCCCAGGGCTCCATCAGGTAACTGCAGGTGATCAGCTCAAACTGGCAGAAGAGCCAGTACAGGTAACTCGGGGTGTTCTTCACATCCATCCCTGATCCCAGAGATCCCTGTGGGATGAAGGGTGGGGATGATGGAATGAGAACCTCACATTCATAAAGAGTGGGGATGATGGAAATGGAACCTCACATTGCACATGAAGGATGGGAATCATGGAAATGGGAACCTCACATTGCACATGAAGGACGGGGATCGTGGAAATGGGAACCTCACATTGCACATAAAAAGTGGGAATCATGGAAATGGAACCTCACATTGTACATGAAGAATGAGGATGATGGAAATGGAACCTCATGTTGCACATGAAGAGTGGGAATCATGGAAATGGGAACCTCAGGTTGAACCTGAAGAATGGGGATGATGGAAATGGGAACATCACGTTGCACGTGAAGGATGGGGATGATGGAAATGGGAATATCACGTTGCACATGAAGAATGGGGATGATGGAAATGGAACCTCACGTTGCACATGAAGGATGGGGATGATGGAATTGGAACCTCACGTTGCACCTGAAGGATGGGGATGATGGAAATGGAACCTCACATTGCACATGAAGAATGGGGATGATGG